GCATGGATTTGTAAAATCGCTGCTTGCTATAATTTTGTTACTAGTGTAAGGAATAATAACTAGATCTATTCCATAGACTTCTAGACCAATATATGTGCATGTACAAAAAAGAAATAAATAGGAGAGTCCTACAATACAACTATCTCTGACAACTAGGACAAATTCAGTTAACACATCAGTACTGTTGGAATGCTCAGTACCATGATAGAAATATGTTGAAGCATGTAGCAAATGTTATATACTTCATGGAGATTGTTCCTTTCTTTTTGAAACTTTATCAACATAAAACAATTCCTTCTGCAGCATTTGGTCCTGCCGGAGTTGGAAGTTTCCCCCTCAATGGACACCACTACAGTTGGAATAACTCAAATGCTTTTCCTCAAAGTCCCTCCTCTCCAATGCTGTGGTCGAATGTGCAGCACCCAGGGCACATGCATGGTTATCCTGGTGTTGTGCCGCCTCACACACTGAATAATGGTGCTTATCCTATGGATCAACATCACATGGGTTCAGCTCCAAACAATGGAGGCAGTTTCAGAAACGCGCGCTCTGTTCATCCAGGGTCTCTCGGGAGTGTAGGGTTTCCTGGTAGCCCTCAAATGTATCCATCAGATGTCCCTGTCTTCGCACCTGCCAGGGGAAGTTACAGGGAGACCATGTTCTCTCCAGTTGGCACTGGATTCCCGTCGCTGCAACAAATGTGCAATGCAATGAACCGAAGGAACCCTATGGTTCAGGTTTCCGCTTCCTATGATGCTACAAATGATCGGATGAGGAACCGCAGACATGATGGAAACGCTGTCCAGCCAGAAAACAAAAGGCTATTTGAGCTTGACATCGAACGCATAGCAAAGGGTGAAGACCCACGCACCACGCTGATGATCAAAAACATTCCTAACAAGTACGTTTGCACTGCTTTCAGGCTTCTTCTTTCACATTAATGAGGTGCCCTTCTGTGGACTCACACTTGATGTGCTCAACAGGTACAACTGTAAACTGCTTCTGGGCGTCATTGATGAGAATCACCGTGGAACCTATGATTTCGTCTACCTTCCGATTGACTTCAAGGTAAGTTCTTTGTCCTAGTGTGAAGGTTGGAACTTGCAGCAGAATTTCTAGGTACTGACGCTGCAATCTATGCTTTCCTCAGAACAAATGCAACGTGGGCTATGCTTTCATCAACATGACCGATCCGCAGCACATAATTCCCTTTTACAAGGTATATATGTACACCCTGACCTTACTAGCTGATAGCAACTTGTAAGAGCTATATCCTGTTTACCAATTCAGTATACATTTGAAGAGAAAAACTTGACATCTTGTAGATTTTAACAAGATTCTTAAAATATTACATTGTGTTTTGCTTGGTATGCATTTGTTAATTTCGCTTGGCAACTAACTGGAGGCACAATTTTCTGCAGACATTTAATGGCAAGAGATGGGAAAAATTCAATAGCGAGAAGGTGGCAACACTCGCATATGCTAGAATCCAGGGCAGGAATGAATTGGTTTCTCATTTTCGGAATTCTAGCCTGATGAATGAAGACAAATGGTGCCGCCCTATACTCTTCCACAAGGATGGCCCGAACGCAGGGGAGCAGGTACGAGTTTATATCAAACTCTCGGTTTCACTTCTGTAGACCAGGTTGGATTAGCTAGTAGAGACCATACTGGTTTTCGAGTCGCAAACTCATCGAGTCTGTCCAATTTCATAGATCTGTTTATGTGTGTGATACATCACAGAAGTCAGTTAAACACTTGCATATGTGCCATGCTAACAATATCATCCGATGATGCAAAGTGGTTGACATGGAGGTTTATTCATGCTTTTTTTTTGGCCAGGAACCTTTCCCTGTGGGGAACAACATCCGGCCTAGGTCCGGGAGGAACAGGCCGCTCCACAGTGCGGACACCAGAGGAGACGCGAGCCTGTCGACCTCGCCTAACCAGGAGAACTCTAGCCGCAGGGCTAACGCGGCCGAGGGCGATGACTCGATCTTCGCTCACTAACTGGAGGACGAAGAAGCTGCAATAAATTATCCCCAGTTTTGCTATTTATTTTTCTCCCCGGCAAGGCTGGGGTATGTAGCGAGTTCGAACGGTCTGCTGGCGATTCGCCGTAAGTAAGTTGCGCAAGGGCGCCCTCGTGTTTGCCCCGCCGACGAACTAGAGTTCGGACGGGTGCAAGGAGGGATGGCGAAATGCGCAAGAGGTGATGTGTGTTTTGGGTGTGTGTTCTGAGGGTTGGAAACTTGTACAGTTGAGTTGGAGGGGTGTTGAATGCTAATTTGACTTGAATGTTTTTAATTTAAACTCGGTTAATTTTGCTCGGATTATCTTCTGATCTTGCTATTTTGCTCTGTGTGAGTGTCTAAATGCTTCTACTGATCATGACATTGTGATGGCGTAACATGAACACTGTTGCAACCCTAGCTGCCCCCAAAACATTTGAAGTTCTATATTTGTACCAATTCAAACATCTTCAAGTGAAGATGCTTGAGTTAAGACAAACCTAAAACTTCAAATATTTTGGAATGGAGGGAGTAGTTCTGGTTAATAAACGTTCCCCACAAGATGTGTGCAAAGCCACCGAGGTTGGCCTTGTATATTTTGGGCGAGTTGTATAGGCAATGTACATCTTTTTGAAAATTGTAGTACATCGGATTTGAAAGTTGTTAATATTGTCTCTTTGGCGAAAGCGCATCACATATCATATACGTACGCAAATTTTTGAAAGCTTGCCAAGACTATAGAAAACCCTTGTATGAAAGTAAAAAAAAAAACTTGCAGAAACGCACAGAAGAGGTAGGAGGGGAATTAGGAGGGGAAACCACATTTATAGAAATCTGGAAATATGCCTGAATTAATAAAGATTAGTTTAGGAATTTTTAAAGACTCTAAATTCAAACAAATTTGAATATAGTTCGAGCTTGAATAAATTTAGAATCCAACATAAACATGCCCAAATGAGCTGAAAATATGAGGAGTGAGTGTAGGCATGATCTAGGTATTTTAGGAATATAGTGAACATTTATTTGGACCAGTAAAAATGTCACTTGAATTATTGGATAAAAGAAAGGAAAGGAAAAACTTTGAGATTGGATTTGAAACTTGGGTGTTGGTTTGGTGGCAAGAGCAAGAGGCAACTGAAAGATGAAGATGAGGAGAAGAAGTTTCACGCAAGATCACAACAACATTAAATATGCCACAAACCAAAGCACTGATGATTATGATGCATGATGCAAAACAAAATAAAACACACATTATATAGCATGCAAGCATGAACATAACACAAACTAATGGAGTCTCAGTCTTGGGTTCTTAAAGGCAGTCACACATCACATATACTCCCTATGTTCCAAATTACTCATCGTGGTTTTAGTTCAACTAAAACCACGACGAGTAATTTGGAACGGAGGGAGTAGCTGCTAGGATCACGGAAAAATGGTGATGACAACACTTAAGTGACTTCGATAGTGGTGCTCCTCGAGTGCCTGGTCTCGAACTCCGGGGTGAAAGCATAGGTCTGTCATAAATTGGTATACCTGGCAGTGACTATGTTTTTACATCGTTGTATTGATGCCATTGCTTGGATTTGCTCGGGATGGTTTTTCATGGTGAAAACCTAGAATCTAGCCTTGGGTGGTTAGATCCGGTGACAGTTTGTGCTTGAGTGTCACTCCTTTTTTGAATGTGTTGTTGTTTAAGAACCTTGTCATCCGTTTGGTGTTATGAGATGACCAGTGCGAATAGGGTTTGTTGTAATTTGTCGATCACAGATCTGATCGCTTTGTTGTTTTTCTCCTTCCTTTCGCATAGACGTCAGGATCAATTTCCTGTTAGATTTGTAGTTAGCCTTGCGAATCCATGCGTCACCCACAATGTCAATGGCAAAACAAGTTCTGAGCGTGTGCCTTTTTTTCTCCACTGAGGAGATAAAATGATTTGTACCCAGCAGGTGGTTAAGCGCCTGTTATTAGCATCCACAGCACTCTGTTTTTCTTCAAGCGCCTGTCATTGAAGAGCTCTTCCATGACTGTGCCATTGGTCGGCTTGTTTTTGTCTGTGTATTGATGTTTGTGTGCATCCTTACTATGCTGAAGCCAGGTGTGTGCTTACCTATGCGTATCATTTCAATGCTTTATTTTGAGCCAGTAAAATCAATCCTTTTGTCAAAAAAAAAAGTTCTTCAATGAATATACTTTGGAGTCCTACAAATTTGCAATGGGGTTATTTCACTCATTAGAAAAAAAAAAGACAAGAGACAATTGTTTAGGAGAGATAACTCGCAAACAGGCACATCTCCTTCATCAAACGGCATAAAAGCTCCAAAAGCACCTATTTAAGAGCTTTATGACATTTTGACCAAAATGAGAAGGCTACAAAATCAGAAACAAATAGGTCCTAATTCCTTGGCTTAACTTTGATTCACTTTGCCACGCAATACCTACTTCTACAAAAAAACTGTACTCAGAACCGTGAAACCAGATGGAAGGTATTTTCGAAGTTTTGGTTTTTGGAGCTTTGTAAAACTAGTGTACTCAGAACCACGCAATCCCAAGCCAAACTTTGCAAATATGACCAAGTTTATATAGAGAAATATACCATTGATTTTATCCCCTATAAAAGAAACCTGGTCCAAATTAGCAAGGTTTGGTTTCTGAACAAAAACTAGATGCAACTAACTATACATCTAACCAGATGCAGCAGAAAGAAAGAAACAAACAATCACACCAGTAAATATAGTTCAAGCATCATCATCATAACCATAACCTGATAGATAATATCCAGGATCCATATAGCAGGAACTTAACTACAAGGTTCCGACCCAAAATAAGTGCCAGCAGCAGCAACCAAGTCTCGGGACAAGACACAACGGATAAAACAGTCTTCCGGATAAATATAAACTATATATATAATACGCGACCAGCCAAAAAACGGAGCTTCTTCTTCAATGGTGGGCATCAGCCTCGGCGCCGCTCCTCTTCTTCAACGGAGCTTCAGTTGTCGGCCTTGGTGTTGCTCCTGGTCCTGGAAGCAGGGCTCCCACCAGCCACCACCACACCGCCACTCCTGGTCGCCCGGCGAGGGGTGCTTGCAGCAGCAGGGGTCTCTTCAGCTGCAGCAGGGCTTGCCTTCTTCCTCTTACCGCCACCAGCTGCGGCGGCCTTCTCTTCAGCAGCAGCAGGGCTGGCCCTCTTCCTCTTACCGCCGCCAGCTGCGGTCCCAGCACGCCCCTTGCGCTTCTTCTGAGCCTTCTGGGAACCTTCTTCTTCCTCCTTTTCAACCATCTCGGCGTCTTCTTCAGCTGCATTTTCCACATCAGGAGCACCAGCAGTGGTCTTGATCTTCTTCTCATCTTTGGCCTCCTCCTCAGCTCCCTTGCGCCTCAGAGGCTTCTTCAGCTCATCCTTGGCCTCAACCACGATTGTGACGACAGCATCCTCTTCTCCAGCCTTGTTCTCAGCACCATCATCATTCTCTTCCTCGTTCAGGCTGCTGTCATCCTCCTCTTCCTTCTCCAGAGCATCCTCATCATCATCATTTTCCTCAGCAGATCCCTCCGCGTCTGGCTTCTCCTTGGCAGCCTTGGCAAGCAGATTGTCAATCAGATCCTTCATCTCTATGTTAATCTGCAACACAAATAACAGAAGGCGTCCATCAGTAAACATACTTTAAAACATGCTTCAACAGACTTGTGTTTCAATTACATGCCTGTGGGTTCTCCAGGAAGTCGCAAATATCAGTTGGGCAGGAGGGGCAGTTCTTCACAATCTTCTGTGCCCGCAGAGTGCGCCCGCCCCTGCTTCTTTCCCTCATAGAACCCTCGTCACCAAATGCAGCGGTCAAACAAGCTTTGCAGAAGTTATGACCACAGGGAGTAGTAAGTGGTTCCTTCATCAAATTCTTGCAAATGGAGCAGCCAAACTCTGCACATGACCAAACAAACACAAGCACGCATTAGGAGAATGAATGCTTGGAATAGATTTCAGCTATTTAAGCCAAACAGAGCGTAGCAATCAAAACACACGGCATAAAAACTAACCCTTCAACAGCCTCTCATTCATAGACATATGAGCACGCTTCTGGTATTTCCTGAATTGCTTGTCAGTTTCAGGATCGCCTGACTGGGCGGGCTTCTTGCTGATTGGTGGAGGCTTCACCCACTTCCAGCCTTCATTTTCCTATAACAAACAGATAAAGATCGATCAGTGGTGATGATGTATGCCTGTAAGTGAAAACATCAGAAGAAGAAAATCGCATGGACATACAACATAGTCCCAGGAGGGGGATCCTGCCCGTTCAGTGATGTCAGTAGCACCTTGCAGCTCCTTAATCCTGGGCAGTGGCCTTGGCCGGTCACCATGAAGATCACTAAAACCCAGATACCACAACATCAGTGTAAGTAATGCCACTTCTTTTCAAGACAAAAGCATATTGCCAAAACAAAATGTAATAGCTTTGTCAAACCTGGTCCATGGAGCTGGTTCATTGTCGCATCGTACAAAGAGGTACCTGCAGACCTTGTATGTACCCTGAGACAGAAATCAAAAGAATATACATTATCTTCCATTCAGTGGCACAAAATAGAGAAAAGCAATGTTGAACCTCTGCACAGGGTGTAAAATTACCTGAACACCAATCTTCCTCCAGCATTTCTCAATCCTGTAGACTCCATCATAACGCACACCAGTTTCAGGAGCATATGAAGAACGCTTCTCTTTGTGGGACCTTTTTAAGATAGTGTAGTCAAATATAAATAGGATGATGATATAAATAATAGATAACAAATTTAAGCAGAACAGTGGATGGTCTCCATATATGCAGCACATGTAACAACATAAAACTATTCAAGGTAAGGGAATAATTAACAGTATTAACACTGTCAGGCTAGAGTGTAACTGTGATATCAACTACGGACTTATCAAACGCTGATATATTTGAGGAAATAATTATGGCAAGAAAAACATACCGCACAACCCTGACAGGGTAACCCTTCTTGCAACTAAGACGCAGAGCAGCATTCATCTTGTCAAATTTCTGATCAGAAGATTGCTCCTTGTTTGTTCGCTTGTTCCCACTTAGGTCTCTTCCACCACTGTCAGTACAAATTATTCACAGAAATAAGTGCTCACGTGTAGGATCAGACACGGAAGTAAAATGATAGCAAGTGAGTAAACTAGCTAACCTTCCAGTATACAGGAACCACTCCCCATGGTCCTCATCATCTATGTAACCACCTGACAGCGCCACTGACTGGGCACCATGTTCTGACTGGCCAGCAATACCAGCAACATGAGGGAAATGAGCACCCCACTGCCTGCACTCAAGGCGGTCTTCCCAGGTTTCCCCGACTAACACACCAAGACGCCTTTTGGGGTCGTTTTCTGCTGGAATGGGGCCAAAATGATCAGGTGCAATGGTCACAAAGATCTGGCCACTTGAAGCATTAGCTTTCCCAGCCTTCTTTGCTCTGTCAGTTGTGAAAGCCTTGTCGGGTCTAGCCTCATTTCTTATGTAATGAACAGGATTTCCAGAGCCACCTGCACTAGCATTCTTTGCAGTCCTAGCCATACGGATAACCGCAACCAACGCTGCATTAATCCTTGGCTGCGAAGCCATTTTGGATGGGATTGGTCCCCGGCATTTTCCACAGGTCCTTTTTCCACTGTTAACCCACTTCTCAAAGCATTTCAAACAGAAGTTGTGGCCACACGGTGTCTACAAAGATTCAAAAGTAGAATGTAGTGAACAGAGATAGCACCAAATATATAGTAGGCAGGAGTATTGTTATCCTGAGTAAAGTATTTAGAACAGAAAAAGAACATACAAGGAAAGCTTAAATATGAAATCATAATCAAACATAACATCAAATAAAAACACAAGTAGAAATCGTTACTGACAGATTATAAACAGAAGTAATCATAGTTTTCAGCTTAAAAAGTGTGCGGACATGACAAGTAACAGCCTCCTTTCAAATATAGTGACAGTTAAAAGGCTATGCATGTGTCCAGAAGCATGTCAAAGAGAGGCTATGGCAAGCAACCTTTTATGCCAGCAGAGGGTATCAGCAATCTAAGATTACAAACCAAAAGGGCAAAGGGTGCTTCACATGCCCTGGTCCAACCAACCAAAGTAGGTGGTACAGATCAAGAGCTAGCCAATAACTATGATGAAGCCTGTTGGTCAAACAACATATTGACTGGAATCACAAATTGGGAGGAACATGCATAGGCAGGTGGTAAACCATGAACTCAAATAAATATTCAGGACTCCAGGGGTGCAATGGCAAGGAACACATGGTTGTAAACCCAGCCATCTAGGTTCAAGGACTTAGCCCAACACAGTATGCCAGCTGGCTAAGATATGTAGCTAAACCTGACTCAATTTAAAGTGGCATTCATGATGAAAGGAAACATGAAACCATGCTTTCAGCAAACTCTCAAAAGAAACCAAAGAGTAGCCAATGCCAGGTATCATTCACTTTAGTTGTATATTAATACTCTGCTAATCAACATTGAAGGAGTTTGGAGATTTGTGTATAACAAACATTACTTCATTCATATAGCATGATGATGTTTTCACCCCTTGAACTGCAGCATAGATCATGTATGTAATCACTTTGCCACACAAAAAACAGACAAAATACCCTAGGCAGTACAAGATACTAGCAAATATCAGGGAGAATCAAATCATTTGGTCAACAGACTGTGCATTAGCAGTCCAAGGCACAGACAAACCAAAAAAAGGTGAATAGACTTAACAAACCAGCAAAAGGAGCAGGACAGCAAGGCCATCTACAGTAAGTTGCAAATGACATTACACTTGACCAGACTATCCAGATATCATTTAAAACACCACCACAGGAGCTCCCCTGGGTCAAGTGGCCAGGTTACTACAATTTTTAGCAACTGTTAAAGCTTACAGGTGATTACCCAACAACAGACAAAGATGCAATCATTTACTCCTACTCCCTTCGTTCCAAATTACTCGTCATAGAAATGGATGTATCTAGAACTAAAATACATCTAGATACATCCATTTCTGCGACGAGTAATTCAGAACGGAGGGAGTATTTGACTACAGACAAGCACCAAACTGCCATCATCAGAAAAACACATGGTGCTGCAGTAATAACAACAAAAAGACTGCAGCTGTTGCAGAGCTAGGATTCATATGCGCACATGTAAGCAATGCTGAACAACGCTCCCAGGTAAACACCATTCATGCTGTTATAAAAGTACACAGGTGATTAAGCCTACAAACAGACGAGGTCATGATACTTTACTCCTATCTAACTACAGACAAGCACCGAGCACGCAAGCCGTCATCAGAAAATAAATGATGATGTAACAATAACAACAAATAGATCACAGCTGTCCTAATGCTATGGATTATATGTGCAGATGTGAGCAATGGAAGCAATGACCAAGGCAAAGATGGGTCATTACTAGTGGGTGCGTCTAATTATCAGGGGATTATCTGACAGCAGGGGAGGCCGTGATCCTCTGCTCCTATCTGACTATAGGCAAGCACAGAACACGCATATATTAAAATAAAGTAGATTACTGATGTTGAAATTACATTACAGCTACATCAAACCAAAAAAGAGAAGGCCGCAAAAGCACATCTGAACAAACTGAAATCAATGGATGTTAGAGCGTCCGAGACGGCATAAAGAGGACGATGAGTGATGATTATGCGGGGAGAAATGGATGCAGTGACCCAGAGGAAGATGATGGATCATTACTGCCGCCGCAGGGCGCATCTAATGATGCGGGATTTAACCATTATGACAACAAGCGCGCACGAGAAGATCATATTTTGCAGCGAGCGCCGGGAGATCTATCCGCGCCGCGGATATTATACAGTGAATAGTTGCGGGATGGTAGTGGATATAATCATGGGCATTTATTCGAAAACTGACGCGGAGTAAAACACGGGGAGGGGAGGGGATTGCTCACGGTGACGGGGCGCTCGGGGAGCTTCATGCAGAAGACGCAGCTGAAGTTCTTGCCGACGATCTCGAGCGCGTTGTCCTCGTCCTGCTCCTCCTCATCCTCGTCGTCATCGCCGGCGACGGCGGTCTTGCCGCCGAGCAGCTCCTGGCGGCGCTTGGCCTTCTCCTGCTCGGTGAGGGAGGCGTCCGCCTCGATCTCGCGGATGGCGGCGAGGAGGCCGGACCCCCCGCCGGCGCCCCCGGGCGCGGCGGTGGGGGCGGGGGCGGGGGCCGCTGAGGGGGAGGCGTCCTCGCCGGAGCAGTCGGGGCAGGCCCAGGCGGCGGCGTCGGCGAGCGCGGGCGGCTTGGAGAGGCAGGGCGAGTGCCAGGGCGTGGCGCAGGTGGCGCACCGCAGCAGCTCGACCTCCGGCGGCGCCGCGGCCCGGCACACCATGCACACCCCGTCCCCGTCGCACGGCAGGTCCGGCATCCTCACTCTCCCCGGCGGCGGCGAGGGGGGCGCGCTAGGGTTTTGGGGAGTGGGGAATGGGGAGGGGGACGGGAAAGTTTGAAATTTTGATTTGGGGACGGGGACGGGGACGGAGACGGTCGCCCTCCATTCCTCCG